GCAAAGGATTTCGGGTCAATCCCACTGATGTCCTATTTTGATATGATGCCTAGATGCGGCCCATGAGGTTGCTCTACGGTGTAGTGCCTTGATCGTTTTCCATAGGGAAGTACTTGTCTTTCCCCTTTCCTCCAACTCTTAACTGGGGCACCAATCGTGATAGCGTGGCTACTAATCACCGGTGTTTACTACTGTTGCATTAATTTCGAGGATGACATGATGAAGACCTGGAGTTGTATCCCAGAAACAAAATAAACCACCGCTGGATGATGATTGTTGTGTACACTGGAATGCCATTCTTCGGGTCAAACATCGAAGATCGGCATCCGATCGTTCAGTTGACAGCTTTATAGCATTTTCTGGAACGTCTTGACGACAAACACGGTAGCTAAAACCTCCTTTTTATCGTGTTGCAATTACGCTAGGCTGGTGTCATCAATCGGGCCGCATGGGCAATAAATTTCTGGCTTCTCTCGGGGAACAAGCTCAGGATAACTGCGCGGACACCATTATTCGGAGCAGATGAGATCACATCGATGGTCAGTAATGGGTAAGCCGAAGCTTATCATAGATTTGACAGAATCGAAAGGATAATGGCATATTTATTTGTTGACCCCGCTGAGACGTTTAGAAAGTGTCCGAGAACGAGTTAGAACAGAGTCCAGGTTTTCGAGGATAAGCAACGTGTTACTTGTCTAAGAACAAGCGCACATGAGCTGAAATGTACATACAAAAGTTCAGTACGAGTATATATGGTAAGTATAAGAATAAGCACACAAAAATCATGACACCCGCTCGGCAGGTGGTTTGGTGGGTCTCGGATGTGATGCATCATCGTCATTGTGAACATGATCATCATCATTACCATCATAAGTGAGAGCAACATCCGACGAGAACGCTGGGGCTTTACTGGCGCACAACCATGTCAATTTATTTAAATATAGCACTTCAACGGAAAGCGGATAGAAATGTGGCAGACGGGGGACCTATGGCTAGCCTCAAACATGCATTTGAGCCGCCTTCACCGGAAACATTCAGTATGACAAATTATACAAAAACTAACAGATGAGCGCTACTAACATCGGTCAGCCACCATATCGTTCAGTCTCCAGCCAAGCACGGTGACGGCAACGAGAACACTGTCCTGGAAGACGAACAGCACCAAAGGCGCCCAAACTTTTGGTAAAATCCTTCATTCCCTCTCGCCATCTCAAACTATGTCCGCCTATACGGTCCCGTCACTCCGAACTAGGCACGAAACACAACAATCGTCTCGATAGGCAGTAAATCGAAATGCTCAACACATGACCGAGCTACTCTAGCTTGCAGTGTTGAATACAGTCTTTAAGCAAAGTATCTTCTGATTCACCAAAGATCCGTCCACTGATTAACCCAGGGCGAATTCGCCAGTTCCAGCAGATTGTGCCTAAACATCTGGGAGTTATGTTCCACTTTCCCCGTTTTCCAGTGACCGAAACTGTAGCAGCTGGAACCAATACCTATGGCACACAGTTAATAGCTGATAAATTGAATTTTTGATTGATTGATACCTCATATCCTCCACCCAAAGTAACCAAGTGCCACAGCCGTACAAGACCACAGTCCGCGCTGTAGTCTGATACACCCATCCTTTGAGACCGTGGGATGACTTTTCGACGCCACCAGCAATGTAAACTGGCGAACGCTATTCTGCCTTCGAGATCCTTACGTTCGTTCAGTTTGCCACAGCCGTCGAAGCCAATGCAACTTCCTGGATATGCATGTCATTTCACAACATCCAGTGTCAGTCCTTGAATTCTCAGAGGCATGCTCAGACTGCGTCCTGCAGCATGACTTTGCACTTGTGAGCGCGATGATCTTGGTTGGCTTTCTAGTTAATCCTCTTGCTTCCTGCACTTTGTCGAAAATTAAAACCATGTCGTTTGCATGTTCCAGGCCGACGATGTTCTTGCTCGGAGGAATCTGAAAACCGGTATTTTGGGGACCTCTTCATTCTTGCATCATTATCTCATCACCGACGAAATTAAACGGAGATGGAGAGATTGCACATCCTTGTCGAGCATCTCTTTAAAGGAGGCTTTCGCGGCTGCATTGACGGTAGGAAATCCGGCTGAACAACTGCAAGTGGCTAGTTGAAGTGCCGCTGAAAGTGTTCAGCCCAGCGATTCAGGCACTCTTCTATTTCACGAATAAGCGAGTCGTTTCTATCGGTGATTGTTTCGTCCACTGGGGAGTACTCGGGCCTGTTGCGCGTATCAGCTGAGACAGTTTACACACATCCTCAGAGTTTCTCGCTTCCTCCATCTACCGAACTCCTTGATTTCCGCAGATGCTCCTTCTCACCTGTGCGTGACAAATCGTCTGGTGGTACTTTATTCTCGACCAGGAAAAATACGTGTTCGAGAGTTGAGAAAGTTTAGAATGTTGCTCGATATCAAACGTCTAGATATAGTTTGATGGACCGCTTTACAGGTAGAGCGCCGAGCATCTTTTTGGGTTGTGGAGAGCATCCTCCAGTAAGAATCAACATCAGAAGACGTGTGGTCCTAAAGAGACTTGTTTCACATCAGGCTCCGATAGCTTCCCAACAACCAGAAAAGGTATGCGCATTTTGGGCGTCCCTGTAAGAGGAAACGAGAAACCTAAACGAACAAATGCGTGATTTGAATCCACAGAACGAGGGGAAGTCAGTATTAGATCCATGCCACCATAGCTAATAGTAATGTGGTCTATCTCTAGTGGGGGCTGGTTTAAACACGGGAGAATGGAATCATAAGGCCAAGTCGCTTCGGCTGTTTCGGAAGTCAGCACTGCGCAGAAACAGTGAGCACAACTGCACTAGGCATTCGCAATTCCAGTCCAAGAAGACCATCCAATTGTACCTCAGCAGTGCTAAGTTTACACATCTGCACATTCACATTCCCGGCAGACAAAAGACCTAAGCTGCGACAAATACACGCATTTGCATACAGACTTCTTCATTGAGCTGGATAACCGGACGGCGGAGAGACGACTGTTCACTGGGATACAATCCAGCAAAGCACGTTCAGCTCTGGGGTGGAGTGCAACTCCCAGGCCATATATCCCACGAGTCATCGCTTCTGCGGACACGAAGGGAGAAATGTAAAAGAGATGAGCTTATCCTTGGCGTTCTGAGATGCACAATCACGATTGAGTCTTGTATGCGTGTTTCGGAGGTCATTATAATTGACCCGCAAACAAGCTCAGTCATACTCACACAACCAACCGATATCATTTTATGCGGCTGCAGCACCCTTTACAGATTCTACGGTTACCCCTTTAAACTCACTTTTTTTTACCTGACTCCACACCTTATCTCTTGTCGATCCATTCTGAATGCTATTTTTTCGATCGTTCCAGGCATCCACGATCCAAATGGCCCGCAAGAAAAGCAGTTTGTAAATCATGTGGCAAAATAAATCATTTTCAGTGTGTTTGTCGATAGAAATCTGTCAAAAATCAATCAAATTGCACGACAGATTCCGCAGTATCTTTTTTTATCTTCCATGTTGACTACTGCAGCCCCGAACTACTTGTACCGCACGGTAACCGGCATGAAGTTAAACGGAATATCGCTTCTGTCCCTCATAGACACAGGAAGTTCGGGCCTTCTTTTCTAAAACACTGACAACGAGCGGAATCACTCAGTCATTGACAAAGAGGCATACACCGTCGTTGAATCTATCCATAAATAGAAGCATTATCTCTTGGAGCACTTCGAACTTACCACTGACCAGTGGTGCTTCCTTTATGCAAGGTGTCGCATAAAAGTAAGATAAAAACGATGAAACCCAGCGACGGAAAATGGAATTCTCCGCTTTTAGCTAGGATGTCAGCTACAGACCTGAAAAAGATAATCTGGTGGCAGGCACCTTTTTTGGCACCCTATCACGTAACCCATGCGCCCGTCCGACCGGTATTGATAAATTTTTTAAAAAAATGCATGATTACTTGTGCCATCCGGGAATTACTCGCATGCATCAATTTGTTCTTTCCAAAAACTTGCCGTTTTCCCTCCAAGGTGTCAAAGACATCACAACAAAGCGTACGGCTTGTGCCGCCATCAGTCCGCGATTTTACAAACCACCCCCGATATGCTGATCGAAGCGACTCAACCATTCGAACGAATTAGCGTCGACCTTAAAGGACTTCTGCCTTTTGTTACTCAAAACCGATATCTCCTTAATAACGTTGACGAATTTTCCCGTTTGCTTTTCCTTGCGCAGATACATGTGCACTTGCAGTTACTAAATCCCTATGTAAATTATTCTCCTTGTTTAGTATGCCTGCATATGTACATTCGGATCGTGGATCCTCATTCATATCTAACGAACTGCCTACATGCCTACACGAAAGAGGAGCATGCCACCATAGCTAATAGTAATGTGGTCTATCTCTAGTGGGGGCTGGTTTAAACACGGGAGAATGGAATCATAAGGCCAAGTCGCTTCGGCTGTTTCGGAAGTCAGCACTGCGCAGAAACAGTGAGCACAACTGCACTAGGCATTCGCAATTCCAGTCCAAGAAGACCATCCAATTGTACCTCAGCAGTGCTAAGTTTACACATCTGCACATTCACATTCCCGGCAGACAAAAGACCTAAGCTGCGACAAATACACGCATTTGCATACAGACTTCTTCATTGAGCTGGATAACCGGACGGCGGAGAGACGACTGTTCACTGGGATACAATCCAGCAAAGCGCGTTCAGCTCTGGGGCTGAGTGCAACTCCTAGGCCATATATTCCACGAGTCATCGCTTCTGCGTCACCGGAGACACGAAGGGAGAAATGTAAAAGAGATGAGCTTATCCTTGGCGTTCTGAGATGCACAATCACGATTGAGTCTTGTATGCGTGTTTCGGAGGTCATTATAATTGACCCGCAAACAAGCTCAGTCATACTCACACAACCAACCGATATCATTTTATGCGGCTGCAGCACCTTTACAGATATCTACGGTTACCCCTTTAAACTCACTTTTTTTTACCTGACTCCACACCTTATCTCTTGTCGATCCATTCTGAATGCTATTTTTGCGATCGTTCCAGGCATCCACGATCCAAATGGCCCGCAAGAAAAGCAGTTTGTAAATCATGTGGCAAAATAAATCATTTTCAGTGTGTTTGTCGATAGAAATCTGTCAAAAATCAATCAAATTGCACGACAGATTCCGCAGTATCTTTTTTTATCTTCCATGTTGACTACTGCAGCCCCGAACTACTTGTACCGCACGGTAACCGGCATGAAGTTAAACGGAATATCGCTTCTGTCCCTCATAGACACAGGAAGTTCGGGCCTTCTTTTCTAAAACACTGACAACGAGCGGAATCACTCAGTCATTGACAAAGAGGCATACACCGTCGTTGAATCTATCCATAAATAGAAGCATTATCTCTTGGAGCACTTCGAACTTACCACTGACCAGTGGTGCTTCCTTTATGCAAGGTGTCGCATAAAAGTAAGATAAAAACGATGAAACCCAGCGACGGAAAATGGAATTCTCCGCTTTTAGCTAGGATGTCAGCTACAGACCTGAAAAAGATAATCTGGTGGCAGGCACCTTTTTTGGCACCCTATCACGTAACCCATGCGCCCGTCCGACCGGTATTGATAAATTTTTTAAAAAAATGCATGATTACTTGTGCCATCCGGGAATTACTCGCATGCATCAATTTGTTCTTTCCAAAAACTTGCCGTTTTCCCTCCAAGGTGTCAAAGACATCACAACAAAGCGTACGGCTTGTGCCGCCATCAGTCCGCGATTTTACAAACCACCCCCGATATGCTGATCGAAGCGACTCAACCATTCGAACGAATTAGCGTCGACCTTAAAGGACTTCTGCCTTTTGTTACTCAAAACCGATATCTCCTTAATAACGTTGACGAATTTTCCCGTTTGCTTTTCCTTGCGCAGATACATGTGCACTTGCAGTTACTAAATCCCTATGTAAATTATTCTCCTTGTTTAGTATGCCTGCATATGTACATTCGGATCGTGGATCCTCATTCATATCTAACGAACTGCCTACATGCCTACACGACAGAGGAGTTTGCACCAGCCGAACAACTGCTTATAATCCCCAGGGGAACGGGCAATTCGAACGCGTCAACGATACACCTTGAAACGCAATCCAGCTCAGACTCAAGACGAAAGGCCTTCAATATTGTCACTGAGAGTCGGTTCTACCAGATGCCCTCCACTCTATACGGCCTCTTATTTACGTCTCCACGAAGGACACTCCACATGAACGAATGTTTCGGCTTGAACGTCGGTCATCCTGTGGTTTGTCTATACCAACTTGGTTAACTATTCCAGGACCTGGTTTACTGAAAAGACTTGACCGTCCCTCAGAGGATGAATGCATCGTTATGGGAGTCGAACTTATAAGTCGCAGTCCACTACGCACACGTTCCATTTCCCGGCGGAAAAGAAGGCACTATATCCGTCCACCATTTCGCTCCTCACCAAGTGAAGGCAATAGCGTTCATACACCCCCTCTGTCTGACTTGCACGCGCATCCGCTCAATGACATTGAAGATAATACCGATCATAATCCAGTCCCATTCCCGTGCCCGGGCGATGCACCTGCATTTCCGAATACATATGACCCTGACCAGGGTCATATGTATACGCGGCCCTATATTTTAAGAAATTGAGAATCCGGACCACGTTTATCGGTAATGATCATTACTCATTAGTAGATTTCTACACTCATTCAGTCCCCTGCACGCAGTCCAACGGCCCGGGTGAATGTCATGACTATCCTTTGTGTTCCCATTGTCGTCCCGTAGTAACCATGCTTTCGCCTTCACTTTTAACTAATTTACGCCTATTCTTAGACAAGTAAAGCGCTATTCATTCAACGCTATTTAGTCTTGTTCTTGCACTCAGTCAGGATCGATACTCCATCAGTAACACAACCACACAAGGTCCATCATTGGCGGCTTCTGAATCACCAGATATGAACAATCAGAAGCGAGCGCAAAACGATGGGGAGGTCAGTTCAACAGCCGCGCTTGGCTTTGAAATAATAGCATCAGAGTGACGGCACTCACCAATAGGAAGCGAGCTAGTCAGATGTGGACATTGCATCTATGGGTAATCGACGGCGAATAGATCTGGTAATCCTCAAGAGTCAGTCTACAGAAAGAAGGGAGGTATCAGCAGTAGCCTGCTTTCGCGTACCCTCCCTGCTTTATGCAGCAAGTAAGGTGACCCGTATGATGATACCACGCGGTGATCGATGTTGCAGTAGATTATTTGTAAATATGTAATTCACGTTTGACGTATGGTTGGAAGGAACAAGCTTCCGCGTCTGCAAATGCAGACATGAGTTTGGTGGCGTCAACATCTCTGGTGTCCGGTTGGCGATGAAGTTCGTTAATGTAAAACTAAAGCACGTGTCCGGTCATAAACGCAGCCTGAAGCCATTTTATTGAACACGACCACGCGTATAAGCAAAGCGACGCCACAATCCATCCGAACAGAAACCCATGACGATCTAAACAACATATGAACGACAGCATCAGAGGCAATCCTGTTGTCATTACTATCAAGATCGCCTGAACGAGTGGAAGTGTAAGCACCTCAGTATGATTGTACCAAGCTAGCACTGTGTCCCTACACTGTCGCCCTTTATTCTTTTCTTCATAATAAGGCTTTCAAATGAATCGTGCCTGTACGGCAACCAAACATCTGTGTTGAACACTGATACCATAGTGTCGACGATGATGATTATGACGAAGACCAGAGGCATCATTCGACTTCGTATACACGATTAATTTGTTGATTGGACGGTGCGCTAAACGGTAACAGAGCATACTAGAACAGGCTTTAGTGCGTACTGAGAGCTAGTAGATCTCAGTATTCCCCCTTGACTCCGATCTTCAGACACGCCTCAGCCAATTCAGTCTTCACAAAACATTTACCCTATTCAGTCTCCCGGACAAGTCGGAGAGTCGGAGGATACTGATGCGCAGGAAGCGCAGTACTAAAACCAATGGAATTCTGCACACAAGATCGATCTGTAACGATCGGTCAAGCCCGCCCTTCTCTTTTTCGCGGCATCCTAGCCCATCGTTGAATATAAGTTTGCAGGGTTACAGGGGGCCCTCGACTGAATGTTGCAGAACGTTTATGCGGGATGCTGCTCCGGGTAATGAGTGAGTGAAGTTAAAAACTGCAACCGTTTGCTCTAAAAAGCAGTTCAGCTTCTCGATACAGTAATGATAGTGGCAACGTTTTGGAATGTAGGTAGCTCGGGTGCGCTGCTTGGTTGTCGGTCTGTTCGCCTGACTTGGCAGTTGGGTTGCAAATGTTTCATCACCAATCGAGGTGACATCGTCAGTGCAGGGTTGAGTGGGCTAATTCAACCCTGCACTGCCAAGCTCGTCGAACAGTCCAACAACAAAGTATTCATAATAATAATAATAATAATGTTTATTCCCAACTTGTGGGTGGCATACCATCGGGCATGATCACAGTTTTACGGTCAGAATGGAGCATAACGGGGGGTATATGGGGGTGCGGATTGCACAAAAAGAGGACAATGTCATGAACAGTGGGGAATATCCGATGAAATATTAATAATGGGTTTCTTTCCCAACTTGTGGGGTACAGTGGTCATGAGGTCCGACTAGTTCAAACACATAGCCAACTGCCATGAACTAAAGCTGAAAACCATTGCTGGCCATGAGCGACCTTGGGCGGTTACACGGATTCCCGGATTCATACACAGGATCGAGGGTATTGTCCAAGCTTCCCGGGTCGGTTTTGTTCTTGTCGGTCAGTGGCTGTCGTTCATCTGAAAGGCACGAGTGCAAAAGGGTGTAGCACTGCTCTTTATGTCGTCAGCGCGGGGCAGTATGCTTGCCAGCGCGAGGATTCGCATTAATAAATGTCAAATGGTGCTTTAAATTGGGTTCTAGAAGGAGCGTGAACAACCGTCGGAGGAAGGCCATTCCACGAACCTACTACCCGAAATGAGAAAAAATTTTGTCTAATGAATGTGTGCGCTCTGAGCTTGAAAATTTTCTTACTATGTCCTCGCCGTGCGTTTGCTGGTTCAACGGTAAAAACCTGTTTGCCAAGCTTTGTTCAAACAGGGCGTAAGTAAGAATTAGGTCCCCTTGGAGGGGACGGTACTCCAGGGGAAAGAGATCAAGCATCGTGAGACGCGTTTCGTAGTCCACGGATTTGAGGCCGGACACCATTTTCGTAGCGACCCGCTGGACCCGCTCAATGAGGGTGACGCCTTTCGTAAGTCCTGAGTAGACAACTTTGTTGACGTACTCCAGATGCGGTCTGACGTAGGCCCCATAGAGTATTTGGAAGTCCATGCGAGTAATACGGTAGAAGGTGCGTCGGATCATCCGTAAAATGGCGAATGCCTTTTGGGCCGATTTCTCATGGTGCAGTGAGAAGCATAAGTTTAAGGATACCCAGATGCCCAAATCATTTTTGGCGTGTATCCGCATGATGTCCTCTGGTCTTTTTTCAATATGCGTTACACAGGCATTCGTTGCATCCCCTCCAAACGACATATGGACGCACTTTTCATCATTCAGAGGAAGGTGCCAGTCCAACGACCACTGCTTGGCAGCGTCTACATCCATTTGGAGGGCGCTGGCATTGGAACTCCAGGATTTCAAGTCGTCCGCAAAAAGTAAACATGGACTCGCAAGAACGTCTGGGAGGTCGTTGACGTAGATCACAAACAGGAGTGGTCCCAAGACGGAGCCTTGAGGAACTCCAATGGAGAACGGCGCTGGAGAGGA